AAAATATGGATATTTTTTTTTTATGCGTTTGTTAAATCATAAAATTTTTATAAATTTGTATAAACATTTATATATATAAAACTTATGCAATATTAATCACAAATTTTATTTAATCATTAATTAATATAGACATTTGTATATTGACAGAAGACATTTGTATATTGCGCTTATAAGCGGAAGTCACTTTAAGCCTGAATTTGATTAGTATAGTATCGAAAATTATATATATCGAGGTATTATCCTTCAACTTCCTTTCTACGACGTGTCTACAAAAATGCAGAAGGTGGGTCTTTCATAATGCAAATTCTATAAATTTTTTAAGCAAAGGAAATGTTCATTTTTACGCCAAGTCAACATGTAATTTTGTTTTCAGAAACAAAAAGAACCAATTCAATCCGTGCAGGTCTTCGGACGCAAAGTAAGTGTTAACTGCCAAATAAGAAAGGTTATGTTCCGGCGTGTTCTTCTAAGTGTGTACATTTATATTTACAGAAAAGCGCAACTGCGGTCGCTTATTGCAAACGAGGCCGCGGAAATCTTCGAGTAAATGGACGTCCGCTAGAATTGGTTGAACCTCGAGTATTACAATACAAATTACAAGAACCCATTTTGTTGCTCGGCAAAGTAAGTATTCAATAATATGTTAATTTTGTAGAATTTCAAAAATAGCGTTTCAAATGATAAAAAAAGGAGCTTTTTAAGTTTTCCTATGTTGCTCTCTTATTCGGAAAATGATTATTTATGATTATCAAAATAATAGTACTGATGTGATGCTTTGTATTTACTACATCATATCTTTATTTAATTAGTATTATATTTGTTATTCTTGTACAGGAAAAGTTCTCTGGAATAGATATTAGAGTAAGAGTAAATGGCGGTGGTCATGTAGCCCAAATATATGCTATCCGCCAAGCTATTTCTAAGGCTGTCGTTGCATATTATCAGAAATGTAAATATTGAAAGATTTAACATTAAATATGTAAGATATTATAAACTACATGTGTTCTTCCTTTTTAGATGTTGATGAAGCAAGTAAAAAAGAGGTGAAAGATATTCTTATTCAATATGATCGCACACTTTTAGTTGCTGATCCAAGGAGGTGTGAACCAAAGAAATTTGGTGGTCCAGGTGCCAGAGCACGATATCAAAAATCATATCGTTAGCATCTGCAAATTTCACATTATACTTTATTTATATAATTGAATAAAAAATGTAAAAACAGTTCCTTGCATTTATTTGTATACTTACCTCTTATTTTGTCAAATATAGCATTTCATTATAATAAAAATTTTGTTTCTGCAATACATGTGCACGTTTTAAGATTTGTTCTTTTTATCATGCCTTTTTGTTATGTTAGGTATATTTATAGGTATATTGTTATTATAGGTATATTTATAGGTATGTTGTTATTATAGGTATATTTATAAGTATATTGTTATTATAGGTATATTAGTAAAAAAATGTTGCACGGTTCGTGACATACACATGCGCATGTGTCCTGTGTTTAGTAGATTACACGTAACTGATTTGCACGTAGCGTGAAAGTTCATTATAACGTAAAAATCATATTTTTTCAACAATTTAAGTAGAAAGTAATAATATATGCATAAAAATGAAAACAAGATTTAATTCTTATGACATCGTTTGTATGATAAATGAGCTACAAAAGTGAGTAAATATTAAAATGTTGTTTTTCAGGTTAGGGGGGTGCAATATTTTAAATAGTTTCATGTCAATTTTAATATTTAGGCTCATTGGTATGCGTGTAAATCAAATTTATGATATTGATCATCGAACATATCTCATACGTTTTCAACGAGGTGAAGAAAAATGTGTTCTTCTACTAGAATCTGGTAATAGAATTCATACAACAGCATTTGAATGGCCAAAAAATGTAACACCATCAGGATTTTCGATGAAAGTAAGTTACAAGATTTGAACAATTTATTCAAGAAACTATTCATCTGTTATGCATTACTTTTATAGATGCGTAAACATCTTAAAAATAAACGACTTGAGAGTCTTAATCAAATAGGTGTGGACCGAATGATTGATTTGCAATTTGGAAGTGGTGATGCAGCATATCATGTAATTTTAGAATTATATGATCGTGGAAATATAGTATTAACAGATTACGAAATGACTATTTTAAATATTTTGAGGCCTCATACAGAAGGAGATAAGATTAGGTAAGTTATAACGCAAGCTAAGGATTAGACTTGTGTAATTATGAATTATTAAAGAAACATGCAATGATCAGGTTTGCTGTTAAAGAAAAATATCCGATGGACCGTGCTCATCAAAATACAATGCCATCAATAAAAAATATACAGGAACATCTACAGAATGCTAAAACAGGAGAAAATTTAAAAAAAGTATTAAATCCACTTTTAGAATTTGGATCTACTGTAATTGATCACGTTTTATTAAAAAATGGATTCACAGTGGGTTGTAAAATTGGCAAAGACTTCATTGTTGCAGAACATATGCCAAAATTATTTCTAGCATTAGAACATGCAAATGAAATGATGGACCTTGCAAAAAAAAATGTTTCTAAAGGATACATTATTCAAAAAAAAGAACTAAAACCAACTGCAGATAATAAAGAAGAGTTTATATATACTAATATTGAATTTCATCCATTTTTATTTGAACAGTATAAAAATTGTCCATATAAGGAATTTGATTCTTTTGATGTTGCAGTAGATGAATATTTTTCCACAATGGAAGGTCAAAAATTAGATTTAAAAGCTTTGCAACAAGAACGAGAAGCTCTTAAAAAATTAGAAAATGTAAAAAAGGATCATGATCAAAGGTTAATGAATTTAGAAAAAACTCAAGAATTAGATAAACAGAAAGCAGAACTAATTTCTAGAAACCAAGTTTTGGTAGATAATGCCATATTAGCTATACAAAGTGCTCTTGCAAACCAAATGGCTTGGCCTGATATAAAAATGCTATTGAAAGAAGCAGAGAGTAGAGGAGATCCTGTTGCATCTGCAATTAAATTATTAAAATTAGAAGTAAATCATATTTCTTTATTGTTACACGATCCTTATCAAGAGAGTGATGAGGAGTCAGAATTAAAGCCTATGTTAATTGACATTGATCTAGCACATACAGCTTTTGGGAATGCTAGAAAGTATTACACTCAAAAAAGATCGGCAGCTAAAAAGCAACAAAAAACAATAGAATCGCAAGATAAGGCTTTAAAATCGGCAGAGAAAAAGACAAAACAAACATTGAAAGAAGTACAAGCAATTCACAGCATTAATAAACTAAGAAAAATATACTGGTTTGAAAAATTTTATTGGTTTATTAGTTCTGAGAATTACCTTGGTAAGTTGTTAAATGCATACTTTCTATGGTAATAGTCAGTAATTTTGTAACTTGTAACTATAGTTATTGGTGGAAGGGATCAACAGCAAAATGAATTGATAGTAAAGAGATACCTTAAGTCTGGAGATATATATGTTCATGCGGATTTAACTGGTGCTAGTTCTATAGTTATTAAGAATCCGAATAATGGCCCAGTACCTCCAAAAACTTTAGCTGAAGCAGGCACAATGGCTGTTGCCTACAGGTATATAAATACTTATACCTTAATACAAAAACACTTTTACTACAAAAACATTATAATTGTGATATTAGTATTGCGTGGGATGCTAAAATAGTAGCAGGAGCATGGTGGGTAAATAACGATCAAGTATCTAAAACGGCTCCAGCTGGTGAATATCTCACTACTGGATCCTTCATGATTCGGGGAAAAAAGAATTATCTACCACCTTGTCAATTAGTCATGGGATTAGGATTTTTATTTCGTTTAGAAGAAAGTTCAATCGAAAGACACAAAAACGAAAGGAAGGTCAAAATCGTTGATGATGAAAGTGAGCACATAGATTCTCTTATTGAAGAAGATAGAGAAATCGAATTAATAGAAGATTCTGAAGAAGGTAAAATATTATGTAATACAATTGTGTAAGGTATACAGTAATACTTTATATATAAATGCATAATGAAATAAATTTCACCATTATTAATTCATATTTTGTACTTTTAAATTAAATAGATGAACAGCTTGAAAATAAGAATAACTTAAATCCTATTCAAGAAGAATCTAAAGCAGATTTAATTATGGAAAAAGATAAAGTTAATCAAGACGTTAGTGATGAAGAAAATAATTTATCTCAGTTTCCTGACACACAAATTAGAATTGATGTTTCTGGTTCAAAGTAAGTTTATGATTTATACGTTGCAATTTAACTACATTATTTATATAAATAATATATTGAAATAATTATAGAGTGAAATTACATATTGACAATAATCGATCAAGAGTAACACCAAAAGACGATTTAGATGTAATTTATTTAGGTGATGATAAACCCATAATAATAAATGCTGCAAATAAACAAAAAAATACTGAAGTAAAACAGAAACTTCTTCCTAAAAAAGAAAATAAAGAAAAAACTGAGATAGAACCTAAAAAAAATGATCAGGTTATACTAAAACGAGGACAAAAAGGAAGATTAAAAAAAATGAAAGAAAAATATAAAGATCAAGACGAAGAAGATAGAAGATTATCTATGCAAGTTCTTCAAGTAAGTATTGTCTTTTAAAGATGAATGACATTTATATTATTAAATAAAAAAATAGTTTATCATAATAATATAATTCTTAGTCAGCAGGTGCTGCAAGAGAAGATAAAAAGAAAAATAAAAATAAAGATCCATCTGGACCAAAGCAACAAATAAAAAAGAAAAATACGACAAAACCAACTTCACTACCAAAAAATACTCAAATTGTAGAAAATATTGAGGAAGATACAGGTCCAGGGCCTGAAGTAGATATGTTAGATCAGTTAACAGGAAAACCTGTTGCAGAAGATGAATTACTATTTGCTGTCCCGGTGATAGCGCCCTATAGTACTGTATTGAATTATAAGTAAGTTAAATCATTTGTTTTTATACAATATGATATTAAAATTTTTATCTATTATATCTAATTTTTTTTAGATTTAAAGTAAAACTAACGCCAGGTACAGGTAGGAGAGGAAAAGCAGCTAAAACTGCTATGGCTGTATTTATGAAAGATAAAGAAATCACTTCAAGAGAGAAAGACTTATTAAAAGCTGTGAAAGAGGAAACAATAGCTAGAAATATTCCTGGAAAAGTCAAAATAAGTGCACCGCAGTACAGAAGCTTAAAAAATAAGTAATGAATTAAAAAAAGTAACAATCTTAAACATTGTTAATGACAAACACGTATTTGTATGTATATAGAATAATTTACTTGTACAGAAATTATGTATCAATAAAATTTTTTAAATAATACTTCGTTTGTTGTAAAAATCTGAATATCATATCATTTTAAACGACTTATGAAGTGTTCTTTATTCTTACATAAGTATACCAGATTAATACTATCAGCACATTTTACACATTTTATACAATTCTTTATCATGCAGTTATATCAAAATATTATATATTGATTTCTCTGAGTAATACAAATTGATACAATACCTTATACAAATTATAAAATGCACTCCTTTGCATATATAATAGTACTCCTTTTGCATAATTAACATATCAATAGTTTCACAAATTTTGCTATAAATACAGTAATGTACATATTTATCTAAACCAGATCTCTAATGCATAAAAACGCATTTGAAACGCATACATTTATTTCACACTTATGTTAATTATGTACTAAATATATCTTCATCAGAAGCACTTTCATGGATTATTACATTTTCCGATATAATTTTTTTACCTTTAGGCGTTGTATTTCGAATATTGATGGGCCGTGATTTAGTACCTTTTGATATAATCTACGCAAACAATATATATAATAATAATGGTGGTGAATTAAAAACAGAAGTAGTAGTAAATTAAAAAAATGCATACGTTACCTCTGGTTCAGAATCTGATTCACTGATGCGATTTTTGTTAATTCTTTTCTTAGTTTTAATTGGACTCTTTCTAGTTGGGCTTTTTTCATCATATTTATTTACAGAATTGGCAACCTTTTTTGACTTTTTGACTATTTTTATATCATATTCTTCATCAGATTCAATTTCATTTAATGCTAATTTAATATCGTTTACACCACCGCGTTTTTTGTCTATTACAACTCCTACAGTACTATCATCAAGGCTACTTATAGGAGTTAAATTTTTTATAGATTTTATGCGAGGACTTTTCCTACTTCTTTCAGTTATCTTTTTTACTTTTTGGGAGCTAGATTTTGGAATTATTTCCTTGTGAGAATTAACATCACTTTTAAATTCCAACTTTCCATCTGGTTTATGCGATAATTGTTTTAATCCTTCTATTAATATCTTTTTAAATTTTTCATAGTCTGGTGTTTCATTAAACTTTATACTTGCTAGTAAAGTCATATATTTAAGTATGGTATTAGGAACTGGCCCATGAAAAGACTTATTTAAAAATTCTGGAATATTATCAAATGCTTCTTCTTTTTTCTTTTGTACAGCAACTGGATCTGATAAGTTTTTTTCCCATAAAAGTGAACCACACAACCATTGAATCATATTATAGCCCAAAATTTCGAAATCACCACGCATCGTTGGCACTAAAATATAAAAATATGTTACTAAAATTATATTACTTAATACATTAAATTTTACAGAATAACTATAATTACCTCCCATATGAGCATCTCTACTAGTATATTCAATGGTTCCATTATGTGCTTTCTTTGGGTCTAATTTATATTCATTTTTTGTGGTATAATGAGAAGCTAATCCAAAATCTACTAGATAAACTTGATTTTGAGATTTTAGATCTAATAATAAATTTGATCCTTTTATATCCGCATGCACGTATGTTTTATAATGAATATATTCTAATACATTTATCTAAAAATTTTTAGATATAATGTAGAATGTAATAGTTCATTTAAAAAATAATTGTTACAATGCTTAAATGTATTAATAAACTAGTGAATTAAACTGCTTTTGGATTGCCTCTTACTGTTTGTAAAGCTACTTTGTATACTGTGTGTTCTGGAAATCTTCTATTATTTGCTTCAAATAATTTCCATAAATCTGTGCCATACCGATCCATTACTACAAATCGGTATTTTACTTTCTTATATTCATGACTACCAGAACCAATGTATCGAGGCATACCAAGTGATGTCAATTTCTTTTTGTTTTTCCAACTATCAACTAAAATCAATCACATATTTTTTCTTTTTCTGTACCAGTTTGTTATGAAATATAAAGTAAGATCAAAGAAATAAATCTACATATAAAAATAAATTATATTTAAACATTAAAATTGAATTAGTTTAATTAACTATTAAAATTTAACTAACTTACTTTCACTTGATTTGGCATTTCTCATATAAAAATGCATTTCTACAAACAACGGTCCATTTCCATGTGGCTCCTACAATTTTGAAAATGAAGATTAGAAAATTCACATATGTTACATAGAAAATTCACATTTCTAAATAATTAGGAATCACTTACAATTTTAATTACGTTAATATATTCCTTTGGAGTTTTTCCATTATAAGGTGCTGCTATAATTGTCATTGAAAATTAAATGGTTATTCTTAATGCATATGTTTTTTATTAATGTACAGTAAACATAGTGTAAAGCATAGAAATTGTATTTATTATAAAAAACATAAAAATCTGTAGAAATAAAATACACTAATGTTAAGAATGGACATATACCAGAATAAATTTCACCAAATCCTCCGACACCGATCGATGTTCCAAGGATCCACTGTTGTTTTGCCATATCTGTTAATATTTCACCGGCAGATATTGGATCTGGCAATTTATATGCATTTGCTGCCTTTTTCTTAGGTGCTCTTTTTACTACTTTATCAGTCATTATGAGGTTATCAAAAAATAAATAAAATTACGTGATGTTCACACAGGAAATAATACAGAGCTAACAACAATTTTAAATACTATATAATAATATTTCAACAAATTGAGAAATTTATGTTTAGGTAAATACTTTATGTTTCGGTAAGTACCGAGCAACAGCTTCTTGTGCAGACTGCTATGAATACAAAAAAATTTAAAGGCGGGAACCGAGGATTTCAGTGCAACCGTTTCAAAGTTACAGAAGTTCCTATGAACTTGAATGCATTATAAAAAAATTCATCGAATATAAAATGTATAGTAAATTTAAAATCGGTATTTTTTAAAATTATAGTGAAAATTTTGTTAGTTATTGAGTACGTTTGATTCAGATTATATAATATTAGTTAGTAAAAAAAATTATTGTTGGCGGGTCTGATTATTTCAAGCCTCTTGAAGTATGCAATAAAGTATTTTTCTGTCACGTGGTTGGACATATGTCGATTTTCAAATATGTCAGATGACCGTTAAAGTTAATTTGTGAATATAGGTGAAAAACAGAAAATGTAAGAGAGCAATGAATGAAACTTCATTTTTTTCATGTTTTTGAACTATTTCATACACCGAAGTTTCAATATTTTAAGTTTTGTTTACGTAAGTTTGTAATTCCTTGGTTTTAAGTTAGGTTACTTTTTAAATGGAAGAAGCGGCGATTGATTCGCCAAATTCACGTCTAAATGATAATGACCAAATTAATGAAACAGACGACGAAAATTCTTGTACAAATTACAATGATTCAGAAAGTGAACGTGAGATTTTATATGGGGAATGTACCCCACAACAAGCATCAACCAACAGACAGATCAATAATTCTATCTTTAACACCATATCTAAAATTGTTAATCCCACAGCAAAGGTAAATATATGTAAATATATTATTATTTAATCAGTATTATTTAAATATCAAATTTAGCTTTGCTATATTTATTATTATATGCTAATATTTATTATTATATTTATTGTTTAGGTACCAGAAATTCAAGATTTTAAAATTGTGAAACCAATAAGTCGAGGTGCGTTTGGCAAAGTTTTTCTTGGATATAAAAAATCAAATCCTGAGAAAGTATATGCTATTAAAGTAATGAAGAAAAATGAGATGATAAACAAGAATATGGCTTCACAAGTGATCATTGAGAGGAATGCATTAGCTTTAACACATAGTCCATATTGTGTACAATTGTTTTATTCATTGCAATCTGTTAGTAGCGTTTATTTAGTAATGGAATACATGGTAGGTGGGGATCTTAAAAGCTTGCTTGGTGTATATGGTTACATGGAAGAGTCCATGGCATCTTTTTATACTGCAGAAGTATGCCTTGCTTTGGAATATCTTCATTCTCATGGAATTGTACATAGGGATTTGAAACCAGATAATATGCTTTTGTCAAAAGAAGGACATGTCAAGCTGACTGATTTTGGGCTTAGTAAAATATCTTTGCACAGAGATCTTGAAATATCAGATTTAGTTAATTGTACACCCAGTCTTTGCACTAGAACTCCTGGACAACTTCTTTCATTGACATCGCATTTATCTTTTGGTTCTGGACAAAGGTCCACAAGTGAATCAAATCTTAGCGATAAAAGTACACCTGGTGTTAATTTACTTTCTGCTTTACAACAAAATTGTACTAGAATGCAGTCATCACCGAATTCGGTAATTTCCTCCTTTGCTACATCAGGAGATTATTCCCGAGTATCTGGTGTTACTCCTTTCCAATCAGCAGAAGATCTTCATTTAACCGAACGTGTCGCCGCTAAGAATACAGACGAAGACCAAGAAAGTAGTTCTGGAAGTTATCATACATGTGAAGTGTCTTCAGCAAATAGCCAAATTAATCAAAATTTGGAAGAGGAGGATGAATCGACGTTAGAGGCTGAACAATCTCAACCTCTTCCTCATACTAGCCCACTGAGTACGTGTATGAGTACCAGATGCGCGAAACGAAAAAGAGGTGCAACAGGAGCTACAACTGGTCTAACATGTGAATTAAATGCATTGGATTTGCAATTTGACAAAACACCAAAACGAAAGAATCGTGGTTGCATATTTTCTAGGAGTCCAATCAATTCTAATATCTCCGAATCGTTAAAACAACCGAATATCAGCGCTGATATTACTAGGATACAAGAAAGTGGAAGAGTTGCATTCAGTACACCAGTGTCGTTTACAAAACAGAGATGTTATAGTGAAGAGGATGAAGAGAAACGCGAGGAAGGAAGCGTACATTTGATCAAGACGACACGATTTCAACTTCCACCAGCTCTCACGTCATATTCGGCTCCCGAGATATCTATAGGCGATATTTCGGATAAACACCGATCACCACAAGATATATCGCCTATAAAAACACCAGCGAGTTCTAGTAATTGTTACACACCTTATAGAACTCCAAAATCGGTAAGAAGAGCTGGTAATAATCGATCAGATGACCGCATACTTGGAACACCTGATTATCTCGCTCCAGAATTACTTTTGAAACAAGGTCATGGATGTGCAGTGGATTGGTGGGCATTAGGCGTATGCCTGTTCGAGTTTTGCACCGGTGTTCCCCCGTTTAATGATGAAACACCACAGGCTGTGTTCTCCAATATTCTCGCCAGAGACATTCCTTGGCCAGAGGAAGAAGAAGCTTTGTCAATGACTGCTGTAAAAGCCATAGATACGCTTCTTACTCTGGATCAGTATAAACGTCCTTCTGCGCAAGAAGTGCGAGCTATGAAACTTTTCCAAGATTTTCCCTGGAACGAGCCGCTGAAAGCAGTGCCGCCTTTTATACCGCAACCTGATGATAATTATGATACATGCTATTTTCAAGGTAATTTTACAAGGTAGCTTGCTACAATTGTAATAATGTACAAGGTAAATTGTACAGCTTATTACAATGAATAATGACATTTGTTCAATATTTAAGTTATTTCTGTTTGTTCTTTAGTACGGAATATTATGCAACATTTAAATGTGAGCAGCTGTGACACATAATATTCGAAGTATCGCAATGGCACAATGGGAAGATCAATATGAGACTTAGTTTGTGACAGGAATAACATAATGTAAAAGTTGTTATAGTATTATACAATTTTTTATGTAGTTACATATGTATAGTACTATAAAATATTTTGTTACAATTTAGAATTTTTGTATAATTACTTATGTCCGGATGAATGTTCCGCCTTGTCATTCAGTAATGGTTCGTAAAACGAATTGCACAGGAATAAATTATTTTAGATCGCTTTTATTTATGTAAAAAGTCTTCAGTAATCTATGAGTCTCGTTATTTTACATGATGCTATGTCGAGTTCGATGATGTGAGGGTGACAAATAACAAAATATTTTATTAAGTAGGACTAATGTATCTCCTAGCTTGAGTTTGATTTCAAATTTTTGTTAATCCAAGGCAGGAAATGCGTCACTCTGGTGTAAACACCAGGATATTGACCTTTACCACATCCAATACCCCAACTGACGATACCCACTTGTGTCCAGCGACCATCGTTCACCATTAAAGGACCACCGCTATCACCCTGTTAAATGGAATATATGCCATGAAAAATTCAAGCTTGATAATATAAGAAAATAATTTTACAATACAAACCGAACAAGAATCTTTTGTGGCTCGTCCTGCACACAAAAAACTGTCCACGATACCACCAGGTGCTGCTGCACCGTATTTTAGCCTGCATTCACTGTTATACCAAATAGGTATCGATACTTTTTGCAATATTGCTGGTTGTGGTCCACCTTGAAAATTAAAATATATTAAAATTTTATTTTGCTACTTTAATTATAATTTTTATGAATATAGTTTTAATCATAATTTAGTGTCTTACTTTCTCTCAAGGAGCCCCAGCCAATAACTGTACCAGTTCTTCCAGCGTACAGCTGCGAGCCACTCGGCAGGCAGATGGGTCGAATTTGTTGCGTGAATGGAACAGGTTCACTGAGGGTGAGAAGTGCGATATCGTTATATAGGGTACGTGAATTGAAACCCCTATGCCTGACCACTCGTCTCACCCGTCGTTCAATATGTGTGATCTCCGTGTTCGTCTTGATATTGTAATCTCCTAGACGGACTGTTAATCTCGCTACGTCCCAAGAATTCATGCTGGAAGTATAGAAATCAAAATTCACTTGCATGTTTTATTATTGAACAACTGTTTAATTCTCTAACTAATACACAAATGCAATAATTCGTTTACAGATACTGAGCCAATACACAAAAATATCAAATACGCATAAATTTTATTTATCGGTAAAATATGTCTTCCCTTTGAAGAGTTATCTGTTGTTAATTGTAAAGGAAGATTATCAAAATAAGACTATGATCTTAAATTATTAAATTTTCTATTAAATAATTCTACACTTTATAAACAATCCTCTGCAGGGACAGGAACTATATATAAATATGAAACACGAAAGTCAGATGATTTTCTAATGCAGTGCATCTCTCAGAGTACTTACTTAGCAACGCAATGAGCAGCGGTGAGAATATGCCTATCGTCAATGAGTGAACCACCGCAAAATTGTCGTCCGCCATTGAAGAGCGCGGCGATCCAAGGCCACTCGCCAAGGATAGCATTCTGACCGCCTACGATCCGCTCTTGATCCTGAATACCGTTCTTCGCCCCGCATTGAGACGTGTCGATGTTTGAAAGAGTATACAAGGGTTTCTCGCTGGTGGTTGATACGATCAGTGGCCATCTGGCAGGTTTCTTCGTTGGCCAGGTCGTCCCGACACCAGGTTTTTTCGACGTTGAAACTGGTTTTATGCTAGAGAATGTCGGTAATTGAAATGATGGATGAGTAGGTAGTGGTGGTATGGTATGATCAGGTGGATGCGTTGGTATCGGTGGTGGCCAGGAACCTGGTCTCTGTGGCCTTGGTTTTACGGTCGTATTTTCCTCCTTCTTGTCAACGCTCTCTTCCTGAAACATTGAATGAATTTTTATGAAATTGATTAACAAATATCGGTTATAACAAAATGAGAGTAATGGAACATGTAGTAGCGAGAGTTGATAAAGGTTTCAAAGTGAGAAATGGCTAGCTGTGAATTGGACGGTAATAAAGCAGAGTCGTAAAAATCCGTCTACAAAATCATGTTGTGCGATAGATATATTTGAAATGTGACTTTCTACATTAGATAGAACATTTTCGATTCGCGTCACGTATTATTTTTACGAGTTCCTGGTAACTAACTAGGATCTATAATTCCACTAGAGAAATCGTTCGAAGGGAACGTGAAGAATTTGGCCTCAATATGTTTTGTGTATTAGACTGCTAATTTCTATGCATTTATGAGAAATTAACTATTCATTACTATTTAGAGGATGAAATAAAATTTGATTTTCAGTTCTCTTAGTCTCCAGTTTTTTTTTTTTTTTAGTCTTATAAAAATATGACTTTGCATAAGCATCTATGGTCTATCATAAAATGATATTTGTAATTATTTATCAAATTATTTACCTGAGTATTTTCTATAGTAGGATCTTCAGTGTTATCTGGCAATGGAGTAACGACTGGAAGTATATTGGAACAACAAATCCCAAAATTCATCTGTCCATTATCTTGTACATAGCTACAGGTGTCGTAAACACCAAGAACCCAGCCATCAAGTGCGCTCAGATCAGGAATTTTGAAATATGGATAGCACTCTTTGAAGCTAGTGCAACGACCAACTTCGCCTTTCGACGTCAGACAGGAATCGCTATTGGAAACTCCATTCCACAGGATACCACGACCGTCTCTCGCTTTGAATCGAACATCTGCATCACTGGCAGCTAAATAACAAAACGATACGTTTCAGCTCATCGTATTTGACAAAATTAGTTACTCTGTCAGCCAGGCACTTCTTTTCTTGTCTTTTTTCAAGTCGTTCGTGATTGGTTTACGAACATGTTTGACAAAGACTCTAGTTACATCAGGAATACAATACGCAGAACTGTGTGTTTACATGCGTGCACGAACAACGTCTGACAAAGAATGAGACGTTGTCTACCGTTGTAATGAATGCAGAGATTGTCCGTGCCGTGTAATGCCATGTATCTGCGTGACATGTCCGCAAGAAAACGATCTAATTGACACTTCATTGAAGCTTCTTATATTTTATTATGTTGTTTCTTTTTTTTTCATTAGCCTTCGCTTTATTAACATATATAAAAAAGAAAGCGTGTCACCGAACACTACAAATTATTTAAATGAAATAACTAACTAACTAATATTCGCACATACACGTTTATCTCGGCGCTGAAAAACAATTTTACCATGTTCTTCGCGTCTTGTTATATAAGAAATGTTAATTGCAAAAGAGATGAAAGAAGAAAACTTATTTTATTTTCAATGGGATCAAAATCAATTGGTAATATCATCAAATCAGTTTTGAAAACTGACCGATGATATCAAGACAGTCATGTCACAATAGAATTCCATCCAGATTCTTGCCAGCGAGTTCGCTGACCCACAGGCTACACACAGGTGCGCACATACGACAATACGCACGCCTGGAAGACTTCCGTTCGCCGTGTATGGAACGCAGGCATGATCGATCACATGTCGTTACTCGGCTTCAATCGTATCGTTATCATTGGGAAGAGCAAATTCGAATGCCAGCCTCGATGTGGTGCAACGAACCCGAACAAGTTCCCTATCTCAAGTTCTTTCACTCACAGTCCTTCCAAGTGATTGATAGTCAACCACCAACGAAGCGTTCAACAATGCCGTGAGAGATTAATCGACGTTAATTGCTACTATTCGTTACTCCATCTAAACATCTTCATACAGCTGTACAATACCTCGTATAACGAGCTACTATTATTTTATTAAAATTAAAACAGTCTCTTTTTCAGTTGGACGTACTATTGTATACGGATCGAATTATGGAAAAAGACGACTGTGAAACTAAAAACTAAACTTATTTTCTCGATCAGAAATTTAACAATGTGAGGCAATCTTCTGAAATTCTTGTTTATTCATTTTATTCGTATGAATAAAATGTATAAATTTAAGAAATCATCCGTCGACACTCACCGTCGATGATCACCGCATTATCATCTTCCTCCCCTTGCTGGACCTCTTCGAAGGATGACTCGAAAGCGGTAGATTTACTCCTCGGGTTAGCTTCTATAGTACCAGAGATTGTTATAACAGTCTGTATGACGAACAACAATAGCGTCGTTAGTGACGACGCTCGATGTCGTCGGTTCATTCCCAGAGAAACGGAAACAAGCGAAAAAAGAACGCGCAACGAGTGTTCGAGGCCCTGTTGTTATCGGTAGAGATCCTGAGACTGACACTAAGTTGCTAAGCTGCTGAATAGCCGGTGCTCGTGCTTATAACGGGCTCGTCCTCCCCTCTCGGTGGATCGATGCTGTTCTTTGCCCCCGGTAGGTTCTTGATATGAGCCACGGGACACCATCGAGTTTTTCTTCTCTCCTTTTAGCGAGCGTGTGAACAACTCGAGGCATCTGCGTGGAGCAGATCGTGAAGGAAAAGGGTGGGCGAACCTCGCGATGCCAGAATCCGAGCTGCCGATATGTTAATTTTTGGCAGCTTGAAAGGCTTCGGTCCATCCTGATTCAGTCACGCGATGTTTGTCTTATATGTTCGAGTACTTCTTCGGGATGCTTCGTGATACAATGGAGACCACGAGTAATTTTTAAAATATTTTTTTCTTCAGTTTTTTATGAAATATTGTTTGTTATAATGTTACACAATAGGAATTATCATCATTAATAATTTAAATTGTAATCTCCCTAATATAAATAATATTTTATGTTTACGAACAGATTTCAATATATTTACAATATAATTTACAAAGTATAGCTGTGTCGTCGTATCAAATTCATCGGGCGGAGTAGTGGTTGGTCAACCGAGAATCATTCGATTAATGACAACGAAACAGCTGTCAATCGTCCACGAAGATCTCATTTTACAACGTACAAAATCAGACAACGATCTTCTCTTCTCTATAATGGATATTCTACCGGTAATGTGATTTATTGGTACGGTCCGACGATTATATCTAATTTCTACGTTCGGTAACGGGCAACTATACTGTTAGCCGATATGAATCAGGAATATATAATGGAATTTCGAACGACGAAATTCGTTCTGGATATCGCGGCCAAGGCGATTTCGATAGAAATTTGCTGATTACGTAAGTGATGTGGCGGAACCGGCTCAACTTTGATTTGTGTCGTCGCATGAATCTTAGTGCTGATCGTGAATGTCGAGTTCATAGGCATTTACATAGAGTACGATCTTTGTGTTGGCCTTGAAGAGGCCGAGGAGAAGGCTGCACGTAAGGGACGGCCGTGAACTTGCCAATCGTGTTTTCCTCGTGCACCATCGTGAATGCCAACGTATGCGTGCATTTCCCTCTGACCACAATGAATGGAATTTCTTCGAACATCGCGTGTACCGCCTGCTTGATATCGGTCAGATACCTTCTTATGTTTTCCCTTTATCTTAATCTTAATATTTGAACATCGCTGGATAAGAACATAATAAATTTCTTTTGCTTAAAAGATATATACCGACACTCTCAAGTCTGTAAGATCTTTTTAGAACGATATTTTTAAAATGTCAAATTTAAAAAGATCCCCTGTAAAATTGGTTGATTGATCCTGTAAAGAAAGAGAAAGTATATATAGGCTTGAAATATTATTTTTCTCCTATTTTCTTCTCTCCCCTTGGTCTTTGTTATCAGATATTTTTCATATGATCTTTTGTTAAATTTATCTGATATTAAATTTTCACGCTGTTTTATATTTGAAATTAATATATTTCGATGAATGTTATCGCGGAATAGTTGGAATGAAAGAAACAAATTTGTGCTAGTTATGAAGTAATTCACTAATACTGTGCAAATCTTTTAAATTTAATTATAAATCTTTTGCTCTGATTTTCTAAATTTTGAATTAGCTCCGCAAAAATGCAACACGAGGATAGTTATTCAGAGAAAAAGAAACGAAAGAAGATAATCCTTAAGATGCGTATAAGCTTTGCATTCCCGTTCATCGAAGTACCCCATAAAAGAGAAGAAAACAAGTTTTACTTTTTCTACTGTGAACTTTTTTGTTCTTTCCTCGAATCCAGGCTATTAATAATTGTTGACTCGGTGAACGCGTCACCGAGTCGTTCACCGTACTTGATCTGCGATTCATCTTCGATTTTTAACTGTTCATAATACAAATGAAATCTGTAAAATAACTTTTGGCAATATTTTTAGAAGATATATCATATGGCATACGTCAAAATGACATAGCTTTGAATTCAGTTAGAAATTCTTCATTCACCAAGAATATTTTCTAATATTCAAATTTATCAACAATTATGCTAATG